GCACTTGTTATTCGTGAGTATTGTTCTCACACTTGTGTTCCTAGCTTCGGCTGTGTTTGTAGTCATGACTTAAGTTGCGCTTGTATTCGTAGTTTCAGCTACGTTTGTATTGGTGCGTCATGGTTAATTTCGAGCTCGCTTCGTTTCAGCGTTTGTTTCATGGCTTAAGCTGCGCTTGACATTCGTGACTTTGACCATACTTGCATTCGTGGCTTCAGCTGTGCTTGTTAGTTACTTGCCCTCGTGGACTGTGTGTCCACGCTTGTTTCTTGTTCTGTTGAAGTCTTCAATTAAAAAAAAAAAAGAGTCAAGTTTTTAATTGTTTAGCTAATTTTGTATATATATTTTATGTTGATTAGTTTATTCAGAAACTAGAGGCAATTGTAAATCTTTTGTTTATAGAATTATATCTTAATGCTTTATTCTTTCAACATGTATTTTATTTTGTTTTTATTTTATGAATTATTAATGGGATGTTACTTACTCAGGGGGGAAAAAATTTGTCCTTAGATGGTACTGTTGACCCTGCACTTTTAGCTGTATAATGAAGACTTTCATTGCTAATCAAAGCTTGCAGATGTTTTTGGAATAAGTACTAACTGATGTGAATTTGAGTTTACATTCATGTAATTACTTTTATAATTCAGCTATAAGCAGGATCCTTTTTTTTTTTTTTGGAGTTGTATAAAACGAATATATATGTGTGTGTATGAAAATAACTTAAAATATATATATATCTATGTGCATCCTCAAGATGATTATATTAATGATAATATTAGAAATGGTATTATAATAATTCCATAAGTGTTTTATGAATTGTTTCAAGGCTTAAGGAATGTGAGTTGTCTCATATTCCGTGCCGGTTACTCCTAAATTGTCGGGGTGTGACACTTAATAATGATAAAATTATGATCATGTATTGCTGAAGGTAAATCATCCTTCATGCTTTGCTGATTGAGTTATTTGTTGGATAAGTGTGTCATTATTTCTCTTCTTAGTCCCTCAAGTGCTAAATGCCTTCACAACTGTTGATGATTTAAATGTTTTCATTGGATTTCATGTTTGCCAAAAAAGTTGCTCAACTTTGTGATCCTGGAGACAGATGTGCCTTAATGAATTTTCAAATACATACCGATTCTGAAGTATTTGACTGCGGTAGTGGACCAAAAGTTGTTGAAACCTAGAAGACCAGTTACACCTTAATCAACTGGGTTCTAGTTAGGAAATACATATTTTGGTTAAACACCACAAGTTGATCTGAAATCTTAAGGCATCCAGTTTGAAAAGATTGAGCTTGTTGTTTCCATAAATGGTTCTCAGCCAGTTCCTGAAGCTGCCGTTATGAGTGCTTCAAGCAATTCTCCACCTATCACTACAACTTCTTGAATTCGCTTTGTTAGAAAAGCGTAAAGGCAGGTGACCGAATTATTTTTTAGCAAAATTTCATCTTGATTCTCCTATGATGATCCGAATATAATTTGGCTTCCTAAAAGTTGCTTTTTTTCCCTTAGTCACTTTAATACTAGAGACTAATTAGTTTCAAGCTCATATGTCATTTTCTCCTTCAAGTATTGTGTAGTGTCATTTTCTCCTTTAAAAGTTGAGTAGTGTCAGTAATTTACTAGCTCTTGAAGGATGAAATTAGAACCAAATCTAAGTTTTGAGTACTGAAGTGATATGATAATATCTTTCGAAGAGGTAATTGACGTTGAGGTCCTTTGAGGTTCTCTATGAAGGACCAAAATTGAGTTTTGTGCTTTTTTTTTGATGAAGTTTTGTTCATTGTTTTATTTGTTCACTTGTGGTTATAAGTATTTAGATTGCTATCCTCCAGTCCAAATGATAAATCAGTTAGCAAAATTTACCCTGAAAGATCCTTAACTTGTGTTAATGATGGTTACAGACTTTAAAACTGAAAGCTCCTCTAGGAATGATCGATATAAGTTACCATTGATGATCATAAAATTACCAATGGTGTTACTAATTACAACATGACTACTTTCAAAATTACAAGAATGTTGTAAGTTTTGTTCCTATCTTTGTATTAAAACACCCTGACTATATCTGGTTGATCAAGTTGTAATTTTAGAAGTACCAACGCGTAATCTAATTTTACGGTGTTTATTATCAGGAACCCTTTTTTATATTTTTGGAGTCTTTAATTGCCATTAACAAAAGTCAAGGATACTTCACTGTCATGTTCTTCCTGATCAATTATGGGTGACTGAAGCCATGAGATTTGGTCAGGTTTTGTGGGCAGGCAGATATAATGAAGTGTGTTCGTATTCCTGGAAGGTGAACTCATCCTTCATGCTTTGCTGATTGGGTTATTTATTTGTTGGATAGGGGTGAAATTATTCTCTCTGCTTAGTCCCCCAAGTGCTAAATACTTGAACAGTTGTTGATAATTTAGATGTTTTCGTTGAATTTCATGTCCCTCAAATTTTCGAACTCGCTTTGTTGGACAAGTGTACAAGCAGCTGATTGATTCATTTTAAGGCAAAATTTCATCTTTATTCTCCAACGGCAACGATGATTGATGCTTGATACCAAAACAGTTTTAACTATTAATCCTTGACAATTCAGTGGGCAGTGAGATTTTGGTTTCACATTCTATTTTCATTGTCCTTAATTATTTAAATAGAATCAAGCCAATAATGTCGAACAATAATATATATACTCCCACACAAAATAAGAAAACTGAAAAGGAGAATGGATGAAAGTGGTTCGGATTAAAATAACAAAGGAAACCTTACTTTAAATTAAATAACTGAACTCCACTTTATCGTGTTCCAGACCTTAAAGTGATAGTGATGATATGTGGTGAGTTAATGATACCGACAAATCTAAAATAGAAGGCCACAGAGCCTCAGTCACCCTTTGAATCATTCCCCCCGGCCCCCACCATGTGATGCGTAGGACTTTATCGTATACGTCCCTCTCTCTCTCTCTCCCCGCTTCAGCCCATGACCCATGTGATGCTTGGAACATCAATTAATCAATAATATTCTTGAAAACTTGTAATATTATTCTTGAAAATTTATAATACCGGATTCATTTAAAACGGGTCATATATGATATTATAAGATCCGAATATATTTAATTATAACAATTTGAATAATATTTTGATGGGGATTTAGGTATATTGAATTAAATGAGGAGCATCATTATTAAATGTGATTTTAATGGAGGCTCAAATGAAGAAATCAATAATTAATTTTGAATTTTAATGATATCTTAATTGGGATTTGAACATATTGAATTAAATGAAGCATTATAAAATAATATGTCAAGTGGGTTTAAATGGAGAGATAAATAATTAATTTTAAATTTTCATATGTTCCCTTTAAATTCCACATCTTTGGGTTCATTCTATCATGAGTTAATACAATTTTTGATTCTTCAAATTTACTTTCATTTTGGTTTTGATTCATCAAATTTCAATTATGAGTTTTTTGTCCTTTAAGAAGTAAATGGTCCAGATTTTTATTAAATTATAGAAACCAATATTTTATATTCAAAGAAACTTGAGAAACCAAAATCTATGACTTAAAAGTTGAGGATCAAAATCAAAATAAAAACAAATTTAAGAGAGCAAAGGCTCTAATACCCCTCATATTATCCTTGTCCTAATAATTTAAATATAGAAACAAGGCAATAATGCTGAACAATATCCCCCACACAAAACGACAAAACTGGGAAGGAAATGCCGAGATGGGATGAAAGTGATTATTAAGTAACAAAGAAGCCTCTGGTCAAAAGAAAACAAACAAAGAAACCTTACTTTTAATTAATAACTTATCCCCACTTTCACAGGTTCCAAACTTTAGGACTTTTAGAAACAAAATGCTTCAGTTCACCCAAAAAAAAAAAAAAAAGAAACAAAATGCTTCAGCAATTTGAAAATTAAATTTGTTAAAAGTGAATCTAAAGCAAAACGCGTTGTGTTCTAATATTTCCCATACTTTTTATTACTTAATACCAGCTTCAAATTTTTAAAAACGTTTCAGTTCATCCAAAAAGATCTAAAGAAACAAAATGCTTCAGCACTTTGAAAGAATAACGTGTTTTTTTTTTTTCATAAATTTTAATTTTGATTTGCCTCATCATTTAATACTTTTTTTTTATCACTAATTAATTATACGTTGTTCTCATCTCTCTTTTCTTTTCCACTCATTTGCTCTTATTGCTCTCCTACTCATCCTCTCCGTAAATAAGAATGTTTTAGGAAAATAAATTATATATTTTTTAAATTTTATTGTCTTTGACTAGTTTTAACTAACATTTTGAGTTATATAATGTAGTTATTTCAAACTTATATTTTGAACCAGAATGAGTATGAGATAGGAGTTTTCATGCCATTAAACTATAAAACTATTCATTGATTTTAATGCATGTTATTACTCCCTCCGTCCCTCTGTCACAATGTAAATTGTTTATAGAAAAATGACTTGGCTGCTAATTAGTATTTCTTTATCAGTTTTGTCCCTGCAATTAATGCTTAAATGAAGTAATTCTTAACATTTTTCTCTCTTCTACCTTCACAATCTCATTTAATATGAGCAAAGTTAAGAAAAATTCAATTTAAAACAGATTTAATGAGTTAACTACTATTTTTTGATTTTAGTGAATTAGTTAAAATGACTTATATTATGGATTAGAGTGAGTAATTACTTTAAGGAACTCAATGGCGCATGCATAATTTAACCTTCTCGTTTCTTCCTCCCATAAATCTCCTTCTGGATCCCTTTGTTTCGTTTCATTCACTCTTTCTCCCTTCACTCTCCTGCACAAGCAGCATAAGCCTCACAAATCTCCCCCCTCCCCCCCCCCCTCTGGTCTTTATCGTCAATTAGCAAATTCACTGGTAACTTTCTGCCCCACCTGCACTTTTCTTTTAATTAATGGTTTTTCTTCTTCTTTTTCTTCTTCAGAAAGACGCGACTGATCGATCGTTCCAAGAGTCCAATATCTCTGAAGCGGATACGCGACAGAAGATTATGGATCTAGTGAATGAGCCTCTGAGCCACGAGCAAGGTAACCCATTCATCCTTTCTATCACTTTCAGTGGAAAAATATTTCATATCTTATGCTCAAAAAAACAAAAGATGGGTATCAAAAAGAAATCAAAGAGGGACGTCTTGATCAACACAAAGGAAATTAATCCCCTCCCAGAAATAATCTATGCTTTATTTTCTCCTCTTTTTATTCTGATCTGGGATTCAAAACCCTATTTCGAAGCCAGAATCGAAGCTTTCAGCCATCTCGAACAGCAAAAATAGATTTTTGTTATTAAATTGAAAAGCTTTTGATTTTTATTAAATATTAAATAATTATAAATAATTTAGTATCTTATGTCTCTTTATAGACCGGCTTGATCACAATTCACAAGTCTTGAGTAGGTTAGTCGTGTTAAATTTTATATTTTTTAGTCCCTTACTCCCTCTGGAATGATGTCATTTTCTATTTTAAAAAATAATAGTTCATTAAATTTGAACATATTTGTTTGATTATGAATTATTTAATTTATGCACGAATATTTCAGTAATGCACTTTTATTTGAATGTTACACTATTAATATATATAAATTATATTATTTTAATACTGACCAATCTAATATTGAATTCTTAGTTTGATCAATTAATACTTGACTTATTGTTTTAACCTGCTCAATAACCGATCTGATAAGCAGAGCACAACCAAAAAAGCTGAATAATATACTTTAGGCTAAACTGTATTTTTAGTTTTTTAATTTTGTATAAAATTTTAATTTAGTTACTTAATTTAAGGAGTATATTTTTAGTCTTTTAGCTCTAAAATCATTGATAAAAAATAATAATATTGAGATCTTAGATATTAATAAAATATTTTCAAATATTAACATATTAAATTTAATTTTCAAAACAACCATAACTACCATTAAAAAAAATCATCATTTCAGAATAATAATTTTAAAGTTAAAAGAACTCAAAATATATTTTTTAGAATTAAAAAACGAAATTAAAATATCATATAAAATTAAAAGACTAAATATATACTTGGATTTGGGCTTTATTATTCAATCTGAAAAATGAACAACAAAGTCACTTCACTGCTGCGCAAAAGGTCAATTTATACCGAGTGAGTTGGGCCTTACAGGCCTGTGGCCCAATCTAGTAAGCAAAAAACACATTGTTGTTCCGTTATAGGGGCACGGAGACATATGTGCCTATGTGGGAAGATATTTCATGATTTTGCCAAAAGGGGCTAAAATTTTGATTTTACACTTAAGACACAAAATCCGATGTGAAATGTCTTACAGTGAACCTCACAATTGCTTCTCCGAAAGAGTTTGGCGGAAGAAGGAAGAGAAAATAAAGGAAAAAAAATAAGAAAAGAAAAAATGACATTTATTATTTTTGTTTTACGGTATGAGTGCCAGTGAATTATGTTTTCGTTCTTGTATATATTTAAAACTTTTATGGTCATTCACAATGAATATTAACCAGTTTTTGTGCAATTTAAAATCTTATAGGCAATGGATATAACGTGTTCTTGAGTTTTAGCAGACGCAAAGAGACTGAAGAATCTTTCCCTTCTCGTCTCTATTCATCTCTATGTAAAGCTGGAACTTCTGCTTTTAAAGATGAGATATCAAGTAAACTATTGCGAAGTATTCGAGGTCGTAGAATTTTCATCATCTTCTTCTCTAAAGACTATGCTAGTTCCAGCATGTGCCTCGAGGAACTTACAAAAATCATGAAGTTTCGTATGCCATATGATCATATAATTCTTCCCATATTCTGTGAAGTGGATCAGTTTGAAGTTTGTAACCAAAAATCTGGTTTTGGAGAAGCATTTCAAGGTCTCATACAAAAATTTTCACCCACTGAAAATGAAGTGTCAAGGTGGAGGAGAGCTCTCAATGAAGCTGGAGGCAGAAATGATTGGTTTCATGTGGCTAATGATCTCTACTCTGTGTAATTTCTTTTTCTTTTTGTTTTGCATTCTATTTATTTTCAATTTTGCTAATATTGTGTGCGTGTGAGAGAGTAGTACAACTTTTTGTTGCAGTCGATAACAATTAGTTATTAAAATATAAGCTTGATATTGATTCATAAAATTGAGGTGTAAGTTGGACTATTCGCTCGCAAGGAAATGGATGTCTTGAAGCTGTATTATTATTATTATTTAAAGCGGGTTTATTTTAGGCTTTAACACATATACACCCAAGTCACACAAAAATGTTTTTTTCTCTTTAAATGTTTTGAGGTGAAAACCCATACTGAGCACATACATAGTCTAGTGTCACAATATATGTCACAAACTTTTAACGGACAAAAACTTCAGGATGCAGCACAAGGATAATTCCCTTCTATTCATGCTATGCAATGGAATCTTGTAATTTACGTGACACGATTAACATATATAGAACAATGATTTTGTGAAGTGACTTGTATTATTTTAATTCTGTGAAGGTGAGACTATGTGTTTCATTTCTTGATTTCTTGATGGAATATGTGTGTGTGTTGCTCCTAATGCCATTATTCTGCTTTATTTGTAGTCATGCTTAATTAATCAATGCTCCCTTTTCTGCTATGACAGTGATGTGGAGTTCCTTATTCAGGATATTACCCAGCATGTTTGTGATTTATGGGATGATATCTACGACAAGTTACTTGACGTGCAGTTCCCTGTTGGAGTGGATTCTCGTGCTCAGGATGTGATTACAATGCTTCATAACAATAAATCAAAACATGTTGTCTTCATAGGCATATGGGGAATGACGGGTATAGGCAAAACAACTATTGCCAAAGCCATCTTTAACCACATTCAGTGCGCATTTGAGAGTACATGTTTTCTTCCAAATGTCAGGGAACAATTAGAGAGGAAAGTCGACCTTGTTTCAGTAATATGTGAAGCAACAGATATGAGAATAAATAGCATTGAATCAAGAAGCCTTGACTTGAATGAAAGACATTGCCATAAGAAGGTACTTCTTGTGCTTGACGATGTGGATGATCTAGAGCAACTGAATACTTTATGTGGAAGTCGTGAACAATTTGGTGAAGGGAGTATAATAATCATTACAACTAGCGATTTACATCTACTTAATGCCTTTCAAGTGGATGATATATATTGCATGAAACTTTTGAGCAACCAAGAGTCTCTTCAACTTCTCAGTTGGCGCGCATTTCAACAAGCATACCCTAAAGAAGAATTCATCGATGCTTGCAAAGAAGTGGTTGCTTATGCTGAGGGACTGCCACTGGCTCTTATTACAGACATTTACTCTATTTTGGATGAGGAGAAACTGGATGAATGGGAATCCACATTGTGGAATATGAACAGAGCTCTCCATCCCGATATGTACAACAAACTAAGGCTTAGCTTTGACTGTTTAAATGCTAAAGAGAAAGAAATATTTCTAAATATAGTTTTACTATATATTGGAGGGGACATAGATGATGTGATCCAAAAGCTGGATGCCCATGGAAGCAATGCTCGCATTGGGATAGGAGTCCTAGAGGATCGAGGACTTTTAACCATTGATAATAACAACAAACTTAGAGTGCATAATCTATTGCAACTCATGGGAAGGCAAATAATCCATGAAACTTCACGAAACGAGCTTGAAAATCGAGGTAGGTTATGGTTTTGTGGGTATGCTTCATGTGCTTCACATATTATATCAACTTGCATGCATCAATGATAATTAATATTATTATCCATAATATTTCTGATAGTTTATAATCTTATATTATAAAAATGTTTACATTGTAATAATATTTTAATTATATTAATTCAAATAGCATTTTAATTTATTAATATTTTGTTTTTTTAAATATATTATTCAGCTTATAGGTATGAGGTGTTCTTGAGTTTTAGAGGTGACACTCGGAAAAATTTTACTTCACATCTCTACACTGCTCTATATAATGCTGGCATTACTGTTTTCAAAGATGATGTTGAGCTTCCAAGAGGAAACTATATCAAAAAGGAAGTATTGCAAGCAATTGGAAGTTCAAAAATTGCAATCATCATCTTCTCTAGTGAATATGCTGGATCTAAATGGTGTTTAGAGGAATTGTCAATGATCATGGAGCTTCATAGAACAATTAAGAAGGTAGTTCTACCTTTATTTTACCATGTGGATCCATCAGAAATTCGTCATCAAAATTTCAATTTTGGCAAAGCATTTGAAGATCTTATACAAAAAAGTTCACTATCAAAATATCAAGTTTTGGATTGGAAGAAAGCCCTTACTAATGCTGGTAGCCTTGCTGGGACCGTTGTACTTAGTTCCAGGTAATTTTTCTCTTTATTGACTTTTAATTGAAACACTTGATATGTGTTTATTATTCGAAATATGACTCATTTCTGTTTGTTCCCTGCTAGGCATAGTCTTAAAAGCTACATATATTGTAAAATTCTCAAGTCTAATAAGGCATATGTATTGTTTTGTAGTGAAATAATGAGTGTTTACTAATAATATCTCTTTTTCTTCAAACAAATATATAGCTTTCAAAATATTGAATTTATTTATTTGAACCCATACATGTTTTTATATTGAATGCAGGGATGAGAGTGAATATGTTAAAGATGTCGTTAGGCAAGTTTGTGATATATTGGATAAGAAACACTTGTTTGTCGCTGAGCACCCAGTAGGAGTGGATAATCGCGTGGAAAAAGTAATCACAATGCTCCAAAACCATCTATTTAAAGATGTTGTCATGATAGGGATATGGGGAATGGGGGGCTCAGGCAAAACAACTATTGCCAAAGCCATTTATAATAAAATTGGTCATACTTTTGAGAGTAGAAGTTACCTTTCAAATATCAGAGAAGTTTGGGGTCAAGAAGAGGGAAAAGTGTGCTTACAGAACCAACTTCTTTCAGAGATATGCAAGACAACACAAATGAAGATAAATAACATTGAATATGGAAAAGTCACACTGAGATATAGACTTTGCCATAAAAAGGCACTGGTTGTACTTGATGATGTGGATGAGTTAGATCAGCTGAATGCCCTAGTTGGAAGTTGTGACTCGTTTGCTCAAGGAAGTAGAATAATCATTACAACAAGAAATAAACGTCTACTCCGTAAAATGGGTTGTCTTGTTTACTCGATGGAAAATTTGGATGATAAAGAATCTATTGAGCTTTTTAGTTGGCATGCATTCAAACAAAAAAGTCCTAAAGAAGATTTTATTGAACTTTCAAAAAAAATAGTTGCATACTCTGGGAGACTTCCATTAGCTCTTGAAGTCCTTGGATCTTATTTATTTAATAGCGATGACGCGGAGGAATGGAATGAAGTATTGGAAAAACTTGTAGAAATTCCCAATGACAAGATACAAAAGAAACTAAAAATAAGCTTTGATGATTTAGATGGTTTGGAGAAAAAAATATTCCTTGATATATGTTGCTTCTTTATTGGAATGGATAGAAATGAAGTGACAAAAATATTAAATGGCTGCAAATTCTTTGCTGAAATTGGAATCAAAACCCTTGTGGAGCGAAGCCTTGTAACCATTGATGAGAAGAACAAGCTTGGTATGCATGATTTGCTGCGTGACATGGGAAGAGAAATAATTCGTGAACAATCTCAAGATGAGCTTGGAAAGAGAAGTAGGCTATGGTTTCATGAGGATGCACTAGCTGTGTTATTAAAACACAAGGTGGGAACTCATTTTGTACCATAACACAAGTTTCTATTTTGCTTTTCGCAAACAAATAAAATAAGTGCGCATTTTGATTTCAATATGCGTTTATTTTTGCAGGGAACAAAAGCTATTGAAGGACTGTCTTTGATGTCAAAAGTTGGAACAATGCATTCGTTTCAGACAAAAGCATTTGAGAAGATGAAGAGACTCAGATTACTTCGTCTTGATAATGTACAACTTAGAGGAGATTACGAATACATCAGTAAAGATCTCAAATGGCTTTGCTGGCATCATTTGCCCATGAAATACATTCCTAGCAACCTTTATCAAGAGGATTTAGTTGTTATTGACTTACAGCACAGCAGTCTCAGACAAGTGTGGAAGGAATCTCAGGTATGTAAATTAATAGCTAGTTTGTTGGATTTTTGAGCCATAACTGCCCAAAAAAAAATTGAAAAATGAAAAATATTGTCAAATTGCTATATGATAGAAAGCCTAATTTCTTTGAAAAAAAAATGCCAAAATACTTCAAATCTAGTTTCTGTGATATGGTGTTATTTTTTTTGCTCGATGTATGACTCAAAAGGTTGAGTTAATTTGTAGTATTAGATTCAAAGTTTATGGATTTATATTAAAGTGGGATTTGGGATGTGTAAATAAATTACTCTATTTTTTATTGGATTTTATATTTTACAACCTTCTTGATAGATTTTTTTGCATAAATTCTAACTGAATCTTCCCTATCCACTATTGAAGAATAAAGCTACTGGATTTTGTTTATTTCGCATTGCTTTACATGTCTTGCTATAGATCTAGATATTACCTCATTTTATTGAATTTTGTGTTACCTTGGCTTTTCTAGATCACGTATTTGATAGTATGTTTATCTCTTGCAAAGTTAATTTTCAGTTGTTTGAAAACAATGTTTCACTTAGGGTTTTCAATTTAGATGAAGGATTTTACATATAATTGTTCCCTCATATTTTATTATTATTTTGTTAAGATGTGTTTAGCTAATTTCCCTTTGAAATTAAATGTTTTTGTTATAGTTATTGGAGAGTTTGAAAATCCTCAATCTCAGCCACTCTCCTCACTTGGTGCAAACGCCTGATTTTTTGAAACTACCAAATCTTGAAGAGTTAATCCTCAAAGATTGTCCAAGTTTGGACACTATACATCATTCCATTGGGCTCCATCATAAGCTTCTTCTGCTAAATTTGGAGAATTGTATTGGCCTTCGAAGTCTTCCAAGAAACATTTATAGATTAAAATGCTTAAAAACTCTCATTCTTTCTGGTTGTAAGAATATTGAAAAGCTTGAGGAGGACATAGAACAAATGGAATCTTTGACAATTCTAGTTGCTCCTACATTAAAACAAGTGCCCTATTCTTTGGTGAGATTGAGAAGCATTTTATATCTATCTGTTTGTGGTCATGAAGGATTATCAAATCATGTGATTCCTTCTCTCTACCGGTCCTGGATGTCCCCAACAAATAATCCACTACCTCTTATTCCATCACGTGCGGGCATGCCATCATCAATTTTGTGGGATATGCTATACAGTATCCATAGTCCTTCAACAATCCCAAGTACTGTACCAAAGCAACAAAGTCTTTTGTTAGAAGATGGATTGGAGATTTCTGATTCGTTGTGTGCCACAAATTGTATGGACATCTCGATACTTAAGAATTGCTTGGAACATCTTTTAATTAACATTGGAAAGAATCCTCAAGTCTTTTGTACACTGTCAAAGAAGATTTCACAGGTTCTCTCTCTCTCTCTCTTTGAATTTTTTGAAAAAGATTTCTACATGCATAATTATATAGTTGAATTAGAGGTTATGTTTCTCTTATTATGCAGGGATTGAATCTTACAAAGTATGGTGATGACTGTATTCTTCCTGGTGATAATTACCCCTATTGGCTAACATTCAAAGATGAAGGAACTTTTGTTAAATTTAAGGTGCCTTCAGTTTATGGTCATGATCATTTAAAAGGGATGACTATTTGTTGTGTATATATCCCCTCAAGAGATTTGGATAACAAGGCATGTGAATCTTGTATACTTTACTTAATGATCATAAATTATACAAAGGCAACTGCTTTGCTCTACACAGAAGACGAACTGAAATCCTTGAAAGAAGAAAAGATGAAAGAAATAATATCAAATCTGGAACCTGATGACCAAGTGGAAGTGAAAGCAGTTTTTGGGAATGGATTCACTGTGAAGAAAACAGCGGTATACTTGATGTACTGTGAATCAATTGATAAACAGATGGAGCCTTCAACATCTGAAGCTGTAAATTTAACTGGCACCAAACACAATTGTGAGGAGGAGTACGAGGCATGTGAATCTACCAGACCTAGAAAGGCAATGAAGATTTGAAATTTGGAAACTTTCTTCCATTTTTTTCTGCAACACTTTCTCTTGAGTGTTTTTCTGGCCATAACACTTTTTATGAAGTCAATATGTCATTTCAGAAGTAAAACTGATCCATACGTATGGTTGTACGTAAATGATTATATTCTCCCATTTGCAGCTCTCTTTTTACAGATAATGTGGGGTGATATCCCTTTTTCCTCTTCCCTTCCTATTCCTAGCAAAAATGAAGCTAGAATTGTATTAAAAATATAAGAAATGAAATCAACTAGTCCTTGTTTAACTTGTTATTGAAGACTATTACTCTACAATGTTAAAAAACCTTGTAGAATAGTGGCCAGAAGCAATGGCGGGGCCATATTGGCTATGACATTAAAAATGGAGGAAGCAGAGTGTTTTGAGATATAGTTTGGAGCAAAAGCAAGAGACATGTCTGGAATTGCTGACGTCTTCTTGCCAAGGGGTCGTCATCTGTGCTATAATCACTTGTTTTATATAATGAGAGCTTAACAAGCACATATTACAAGATAAATCAAAAACAGACAATACTGTACTCATATATATATATATATCTATCTGTGACAAGTCGCAGAATTATAATACTAAGAGATGAAGAAGACCAGAAGCATTAACAATAAGATGGAAAACTACGGGCTATAGGAAGTGAGTAGGGGAAACTCCAGAGTCATAGGGACAATGACCACAGGGAGGAGAGAAAAACAGCAGAGAGAAATCTCATAATTCACTTCACTGCTACAAGCCCCCATCTTTCCCCATCTAGGTAACCCAATGGATTGTTCCATGTTAGTCCACTCTTCATAAACCCAATTATCGCATCTTGTGGTTCATCAGTCTCAGGCTCAACAGTCATAAGCTTATTTTATTTTAGCCCATTCATTACAATCTGGCAGCTATTCTACTAGGGTAACATTGCGCATTTATCAGTTGCTAATGTGCTTGGCGCAGTGTCGTTTTATCCTATTTCTTTTTACTTGGACGTGGAATATTTAACAAGTCATGATTGGTTGGTTCCAACTTATAAGTGTATAGCATTTGTGGCTTTTAATTTCTAGATGAAGATTAGATGAAAGAGGACAGCATTTTGGTACAAGAATTAAAGTAGTCATTTGCAGAAGACAAAGTTCATCAATCTGTCAGTCACTGCCAAAGATGAATTTTACACTTCTACTTTTCTTTTGGGTCTCCTTTCAGTTCATAACCTTTATTTTGGAATTGAGCACTGAGATCTCCTTATTATATGTGAATATGCGCTTCAGAGAAGATGTGTATGCATTCTATTCTGAGTCTTATAATTTGGGAAGGCAAGGAAACTCTCAAAAACGTGCCTATTCATCATAGCACTACGCTATAGTTATCACATTAGTTACTGAGGTTCTGGCATTTAGAATCTAACCTTGCCAATTATTTATGTCATGATTGAACTATGGTCAAATGACCTCCTTTCTTTTCTTTCCAGCTCAAGGTTCCGTTATTATCTGTGGAAGCCATATTCAACACCTACATCTTCGTATTTGTTGTAGATGTAGTCCATGTAAACTATTGGGTTCTGACTGTTTTCTTGGGAGGATTGAAAGTGAATATCTTTCTAACACCTCTGTGACTACATATTCGTGCTCATCACTTTCTTTCTTTATTAATAATTCATCTGAGGATGAGCCTGGGAGCAATAATAAGGTTGGAGGCATGTAGTCCTAGAGATCATAGGCTCAACTCTTGAAAAGAGTCATCCATGGATTGGCATATGTATGGCGCGATGGGAATACTCCCCTTTCGGTGCAGTATGAGCCCATCTTGGGGGTGAAGTCAAACTTATAGCCAGTATGGACTTTATCGCTTCCCTATTAGGACTTCTTGTTGATAGATGACAATGATATGGAGCGTGACATATATAGTTTAAGTAGTTTTTCTCACTTTTTAGGATAAAGTTTATTATTCTTGATGTACTTAGTATTATGAGCTGTAGTCTACAATGAGTAACTTGCAAGGATATTGAGTGTAGAGACTGTTTGGATTGAAAGAGAAAATTATAAGGACAAAAAGTACAACCAAACTAAAACAATTACATTATCGTGATACAACTATGAGGTCAATCACACTATAAGGTTTTTCTATTGAGCCATGTAAAATAATACAAGTAAAGACCAAAAAAAAATTGTCAAAAAGACAAAGAAAGGGACCGAATCTGACAAAAATAATTTTTTTGGTTGAGATTTTCATCTCTTAAAATAGAAGTCAAGAAAAAATAAGCTCAAAGGTAAAAGTGAAGTGAAAATTTTTTAGGAAAATTGGGGGAAATCCCCCATTAAAAATTTTTATGGTGAAAATAACCAAAATCATTGTGTGTATAAAATTCACAAAGCATTTGTACTTTTTGTGCACAACAACATATTGGCTGCTCGTTACCAATAAAATTTTCAGCGAATTTTTTTTCCAATTTTTCTGAATTTTTATTTATTTTTCAAAGAATAAATTTGGAGGATTAATGTGTAAATTTTTTTTCAAAAGTTTTCATTCAAGAATATTGAGCACTTGAAAGTTTTTTTATGTGAATTTGTTTCAGAAGTTTAAAATCGTAATAATATTGCTCTATACTGTTAAAAATGTCAAACGATCGATGTTAATTTTTTAATAGTAGGAGATAATGTTGTTATGATTTTAAAACAATAAGGAAAATTTGTATTTTAAAAAATTTTCAGGTATCCAGTGTTCCTAAATATAACTTTTGGAACAAATTTGCTCCTTAATTTGTAACTCTCCCACAACATCATTATATATAAGTTTAATGGCTGATATTTAAATCTGAAATGAAAAGCCCTGGATAAAAAAAAAAACCACAAGCTACATTTCATTTACCCATGCGATGATAATCTTTAGTTCCTAATTAAGAAAATTTTCCTCTCTGTAACCAAAAAAAGCTCATATTCAAGACTATAGAGTAAGGGACTTTTATTGTATTTCAAAAAATAAAATATTTTTTATAATTTATTTTTAATGTATTGCAGAAAGAAATATATATATATATATACTCTTCTGGTTCTAAATATAAGACTGTTTTTATAATGTAACTTATATTATAAAAAAAGTCTTATATTTAATATTGGATGGAGTATATAGTTCGTAAAGAAGTGTTTCCATTATTAGAAATTTAAAAATTTAGTCAAAAACAACTGTTTTCGTTGGTTCGGGAAAGGGGCACTAACCGTTTTTCTTTTACCTAAGCGCAATCTCTTGTTCAGGCCCAAAAAAAAGTACAATCTCTTGTTATTCTTTTTTTTTTTTTTTGCTTTTAAACCAGAATCTTTTGTTATTCTTGAAAAGGGTAAAAATTGGAAAGAAAATGAATTGGGCTGCGTCTCATTTCTCTCTCATCCTCATCATCTAAACACCGGCTCAGACCCCCTTATCCGATTTTCTGCCTCTCTACCGTCAATTCCCTACACAAGTCTTCTCTTTTATCCCTCCCCTCCTTCTTCTTCCTCTTCCTATGACACACTCTCGATTGCCCTTTATTCACAAGCGGGCTACGCTTTTCTCTTCCGAGTAGTGGTGGAGCACAACCACATACGAGGGCCGTAGAATGTCTTGTTTATTGCCGCAGTTCAAGTGTCAGCCCGACACTTTCTCTATCCACTTCAGAGCTCATCCTCATGTTTCTCTTCCCTCCACTCATTCTCTCTCGCACTCCCATCTCCGTAAGTTTTCTCTTGTCTCCCATTTGACTATACTTTTGATTTCATTGAGATGTATGCTGAACTGGGTTTATCGTAGTTTTGGTTATTTTGTGAGGACTTTTTAGTTTTCAGTAGTCTGCATTGCCCTTGCTGTTGATATGTGCTACAAAAATTTATTCAAAAGAACACAGTTTGTTCGTTTTCGAATCTTTGGGACTTAGATGTATATTATTCTTAGTCCCTGTTTGTTCACTGAATCGTGAAGTTGATGTGCGACATATGGAACAAATTATCATTTTTGAGTTACCGTTGGGTGTTGTGACGATTATGCATTTGTGTTTAGTCTTTTCTCATTTTGACATCAACTGCCGTTTCAATTTGGCTGCAGAAGCCATTTTTCCTTCTTAATTTATCTGTGCTTCTTCAATGCTAAACAAATTTGCTGTGATGCATTGCCTTAATCATATTTCTAAGAAACTTAATCTTGTTAGGCAAGGGTCATCTTCAAGAATCATCAATAATTTAGTTAAATTTCTGAAGAAAAAATTGAAAATTGATGCAGAGTTTGAAAGAAAAAAGTGAAAGCTTGTTTATTTCTATTGTATATATTTTCTCAAGGATCATCAATAATTCAATAATATAATTATATTTCTGAAGAAAAATGAAAAAATTGAAGAGCTTGAAACTTGAAAAAGGAAAGCAAAGTCTTTTTATTTGTACTGATATAAGAAACCCCCCAAGGAATTGGAAATATGTATAGTCTATGGCACATTAACCTTTGTCTTGTTTTAGAATTCCATCCTCTAGTTCTGAATCTACTTGTGCCAGGACACTAATATAACGAAATTGCTATTGTGGGTTTGATTCAAGTTACTTTTAGAGAAAATATAAGGAAAGCACAAACTAAAATTAGTTTTCGTCATAATTTAAATCTCACATAGTTAATATATGCTAATTAGGGAGAGTCATACATAACTCATTTTACCAAGTTTGATGAAAACTGCAGAGTTACTTCTCTAGCTGTGGTGATGCGCTGACTTGCTATTGATTCTGTTGTGTTATGGCTAGATTAGCTGGAAACTTTCTTACCCCTATTGTTCTTTCACTGATTGAATTGATCTGATCAAATTGGTTCAGTTGAGCATTTGTTCACTTCCATTTTTCGTATCCAGATAATACTTTCCGTGAAGAAACCTGGTCTTCTATAATTAAAGCGATATTTTCACTTGAATATCTTATTAACAATATTCATGCATTTCTTCTAAACTATTCAAAAGCTGCTAGCGTGAAGGGTGATTACATATATAGTTTAAT